GATGAAAAACAACAAGAACCATCCTCTACAGTTTCATATATAGCCTGTTGCTCAATTGATTCAAGAGTATTTTCCACTGCGGACTCATAAAAATCTTTCCAATTGCTTTTAACTTCTTTTATATCTTGTTACACTGAAATAAACAGATTAGCATCCAGTTTATTCAAACTATTTATTTTGATTGATTACGCCTTTGGTACATGACAGATGTATAGCATTGCCCCAAACCCTTAGTGACACACTCTTCTTCAAAACACACTCATATAGTACCCTATATAGTACCCTATACTATAAACATAGCCACACTTCTAGTACCCTATACATATCAGATGTATAACACTATTTGACACACCCTTCTTCAAAACACCCTCTTTGACGTCATTTTCATTAACATATTGTAAGATTGAACCTTCATAACTCAAAGACGCAACACTGAAATGTAGGAATATTTCGCCATTCGATTATTTATTTTATATAGAATCAGCTCACAAAGAATCAGAATTTTTTTTGTCAAGCGTCATAGGCACTTTAATGCGTGAAACGAATTATGGTGCATAGTCTTCATAAAATGACTCTAAAACGAAAGCTGTTGTTAATTTAAAAGTTGTGGGTTAAATTGTTAATTTAAAAGTCATATGAGTTACATTATATAATAAAAATGCATTAGGTTCTGAAATTTAAAGATAATTGTGTAATTACGCTCTTGTTTTAGCTTATTATATTCTGATGTGAAGACATTGCAAAAAGTTACAAAAACGACATGTCTCGTTACAAAAACGACATAGCTAAGTTACAAAAACGACAAAGTTACAAAATCGACACACAAGAACGAAGATTGTTATTTCGATGATTTCAGTGATTTACTTTATAATTATCAATTCCTGTTATCTAAAATTCCATTAGAAGTCCTTAATTAGTAATAATGTAATATATAGCTGCTAGGCTACAGAAACGATTGACAATCTATTCACTCTTAMGAAGAACTCGAATTTATTGAAATCATGCACAAATAGATGTTTAATCTTAGAAAATATTGGAACCGAGATAATTTA